TATTGACTATCTAAAATCTACCCCAAACCTCATAGATTATCTTATTTAATTTTTGTAATAGTTTCATAAAATAGTGTGTAAAACAAGACAAAAGTGAGATTCAGAGGTTAGTGTGGTCAACTTGCCTAGATTCACAGTTTAGTAAAGAGCACTTTGAACATGCCGCCAGACCTATATTCTTTCGACACTCTGTTGCCCATTAATATAATCCTCTGTATGTCACTTGGTGTTAAATATATATAACATATTAAAAGTTTAAAAATATCCACTACATGAAAGAAGCTGTCATCTTCCATATCCTAATAGCCAACTTTATGCAGTACACCAAATGCAATCTTAACCCTGACCAAGGTGGACCAAAAAGAATATTTAGCGGATCAAAAAGATGGATCATCACTTTGTATCTACAGTTTGCTGAGCAGAAAGAGGCAACAGTAACAAAGTTCAATTCAACACAATAGGTAACTTTTTGTTCTCACAATTACAATTTGTTAAAAACCAACCCACCCACCCAAACACTGGGGAAGAATTCTGAAACCTGGAGAGAGAAGGAACTGGAAAGAAAAAGAGGAGGACTTCTAAGAAGTGCATGTGGCCTGTTAATTAAATGACGAGAGTTGATTTCTGAACACTTTTCTAAGGTTCTTCTTCACAAAGGCAACAATCCTGACTAAGCAGAGAAAATGAGAGTTCAATAAAAGCAGAGCTATAACACTATACACCAAACTGAAGTCTCCAGCCACAATGCAAACTCTGTCTCTCAAACACACCCTTCTGTACCTTTGGAGTATCAACACACTCTTCTTCCATAAAGGCAGCTTCCGCCTGACAACTGGATGTTGGGAATGAAAAAGTCTCCACATTGGATGTCTGTGGAAGGAGGGCAGATCGCAGCAGTCTCACGTTCGGAGAATGCAAGGTCACTGGGAGCCCCACAGTTTGTGCCTGTAAATATGGCCAGAACAGACAGTATGGGAACATTAACACTTATTCTATATACACACGATTTTTAGAGTAAAATACTTCTTCCTGGGGAAATGAAAGGATAAAGAGTTACAGCTGGGCATGGTGCCACGTGCCTTTAATCCCAGCACTCGGGAGGCAGAGGCAGATGGATCTGGATCTCTCAGTTCAAGGCCAGCCTAGTCTACATAGTGAGTTCCAGGCCAGTCTGTGCTATATAGTGAGACCCTGTCTCAAAAAAGTTACTCACTAGGAACTCCAGAAAAAGAATTGATGAAATACATATAAAGTGCAAACATCAAGTGAAAAGTCTTAGCAATCAGACATTCTGAAATAGGTTGTACAGGATTTGGCTCCTGTCTCATGATGAGAGACATAACTTTCACAAAGGTAGTAAGGAAGCTAGTCTCTGTATTTTCTCTTTCTTTAAATACACTACCTGGAAAGATATAAAGAAGAAACATCCCAGACTACAGATCAATAACAAATCAGGGACAGATACATACAGGCCCACAGTTAGCTATAATACAAGGGACATGAAGCAAGTGTCCATCGCCCTTTCCCATGAGGAAAGATCGAAGAGAAAAGCAGGTGCTCAGAGATGACAGAATGGTCTTTTTCCTTTGAGAAGATGCAGTCTGAACTCAGCTGGCTGGTCTTAAGCTCCTGATCCTACTCCTTCTATCTCCCAAGTGCTGGGACTGTAGGCATGCACCACCACACCTGGCTTCCGGTGGCTGGTTCATTCTCCCTTTTTTCTTAATTTAAATTAAAAAAATTTTATATGTAGGACTGTTTTTGCCTGTATGTATATAAGGGTACCATGTGCATGCAATGTCCGTGGGGGCCAGAAGAGGGCATTAGAGTCCCTGAAACTGGAGTTACAGACAGATGTTAGTGGCTATGTGGGTACTGGGAACTAAACCAGGGTCCTCTGTAAGAGCAGCTAGTGTCTTAACCACTGAGTAATCTCAGCATTCTTATTGTTATTCCTATTTTACAACTGGGAAACTGAGGGGCTGGAGAGATGGCTCAGCAGTTAAGAGGATTGACTGCTCTTGCAGAGGACCCGGGTTCGATTCCCAGAACCCACATGGCAGCTATGAAATTGACTCCAGTTCCAGGGGAATCCGAAGCCCTCTTTTGACCACTGCAACACTGCATGACACGGGTGCACTCACATATGTGCAGGTGATACACTCATACACGTGGCGGCACATGCCTTTAATCCCAGCACTTGGGAGGCAGAGGCAGGCGGATCTCTTGGAGTTCAAGGCCAGCCTGGTCTACATAGTGAGTTCCAGGACAGCTGGGGCTACAGGGAGACCCTGCTTCAAAAAGACAAAATGGGTGCATGCCTGTGCAAGCTTCTCCCTCCGTTACACAGGTCCCAGGGATCAAATTCAGACTGTCAGGCTTGATGGCAGGAGCCTTTACCTGCTGAGCCATCTTGCCTGCCCATTGATCATTTTTAGATAAAACTTAGCCTAAGGTGTTTGAAAATAGGAGGCCAGTAAAGTGTAAAAAATAAATTTTGGCACTCGGGAGGCAGAGGCAGGTGGATCTCTGTGAGTTCAAGGCCAGCCTGGTCTACAGTGAGTTCCAGGACAGCTGGGGCTACAGGGAGACCCTGCTTCAAAAAGACAAAAATAAATAAATAAATAAAAATAAAAAAATAATATTTTTTTAAAAAAGAAAAACCAACTGGGAAGCTGAGGCATAACAAGATCTCATGAACCAGCACGACCAATAGGAAATGGCAGGATCTGGATTTGCTCTGCTTTCAACCACTGTGTGGAGCTGTGTTTCCACATGCTAAGTTCACGCAGTCTTCCTCTACAGTAGTTCTTTACTGGGCTCTTCCTTTCTGCTTCCACCAGCACTGAATTAAGTGTTCAGCATTCTTTATCTCAATTAGTACAATAATCTCCTAACTGCTCTCCAAAACGTTCTGCTTTTCTCTAGCCAACCCATCCTTCCCAATGCTCTCAAATTAATTAGCTCAATGCTTTCAGAAGCTTCTCAATTATAAGTAAGCTCTTTACATGGGCATTTACAGTTCTTTATGATATGGCTTCTACTTACCACTCCAACTCTGTATTTCCTTATACCTCAGTTCAAGTGGTCTGAATAGGAACACAGCTGACAATGACCACTTCTGTTTATCTTATGTGCATCTTCCTACCCACAATGCCTTTATGTACTGAGTTTCCTAGCAGAGCCCTACATCTCCATGAAGATCTGTTTTAAATATCACCTTTCCTGAAGCCCTTCCTATTCTGATGTGCCTTTCCCCTTGTCCTCAGCTCTTCAATTGTACTCATCTTCCTCCACTGGATGATCATAATCTCTTTTGCTTCTACAGTATGCCTCTGAGAACAGTGATGTGCTCTATGTATTCTAGGCCCTGGGGTGCCTAATAATAGATGCTTGCACATGGTAAATTGCAGTAAAATTTGGTTGAATGAAACTGACTGTAAAGGCTAGTTACATTAATTCTCAATATTAGGAAATAATTTAAAAAATAAAGTATGTCTTAAAGAAAAGCTGAAATAAAGTTAATCCTTAAAAGTAAACCTTTTGAATACTGACAATGGATTGCCGTAGATGAGGAACAGCTGACCCTCCTGGAACAGGGACCTCTGGCTGACTAGATTTACCAGAAGGGCAGACAGGGGGAATGGATGAGGGTGCTGACAACACAGTGGACAGTGACAGGGATGGCAGAGTATGGAGCCTCTAGTGGGAGAGGAAGGCTCTCTATCTGACGAGTTTGTATTCATGCCCAGATGCCGAGGAGCTCAGAAGGTGGGCGACTGTGACCAGTGATAGTCATGTATATAGAGATTAGAAATGCATGTGAAAACGTCTCAATGTCAATTGCTTTGGAATGAATTCTTCTGTATGAAAAAAAAAAATAATGATTAAAAAACAATAATTAGTAGATGTGAAAAACATTACCATTGAAATCTACCTGATGACTTTATATCCATGCTCAGATGCCTAGAAGCTCAGAAAGTAACCAACTGTGACTAGTAATAATCAGATATTTAGAGATTAGAAATGCATGTGCAAACATCCAATGTCAATTGCATTGAAAAAGAATTTTTGAAACCGTTATTGAATATGTCAATTGTGTTGTAATGATATGCTTCTTCTAAGTATGTTGTTATTAAATAAATCATTTTTAAAAATTAAAAAAAAAAAAAAGTAAACCTTTTGATAATCTAGTGAATGACAGAGTCTGAAACTTTCCAGAAATACAGAGCATAGAAAATGATATCCTAACCTTTTGTACTGCCTGATGAAAAATGGGCCCACCACAAATACGCATATGCACAGATGAGTCTCCTGCCTAATTGGCTGTTACCTTGGCAACTGTTTGTTCAGCAATGGTGCTAGGCCGGCGCTGGCGGCCATCAAGCCTCTGTTCCACAGGAAAACTGCTACGATGTGATTTCAGACGCTCCACCAACAAGAAATAAATGGCAGCGAAGTGATTATAGCTCTTGTTTTGTAAAGACTGAAAGAGAAAACAGGTGCTGAAGGCAGAGACCTGTGACAATCATCTCAATGATCTAGATCTTTTAAAAAGGGAGGCTAGGACCATATACCCTGAAAATAAAACCACAAAGCTCTTTCTTTCTGCCTCTCATCTAAGAAGTGAAGAACAGCCTCTGCCATGTGCTCCTGCTGCCCAAGTATACACAACCACAGGACCATGGCCTGAACCCTCTGAAATACATTCATAAATCTCCATAATAACTTTGGTTTGAGATTTTAAACATGTATTTTCATTCACTTATGATATTGAGGAACTTGGAAACTTTTAAAAAAGTAACAAAGTATATACCTCAAAATAAAATCCTTTCTAGAATTTAGAATAAAACTTCAAGTCTCTAGTATTACATCAAAGGTGATACCTTTAACTGACTTTATCTGATCCTATTTCATTATCAGGCTTCTATTTATTTTTCTGTATTGAGAGAAAACGCCATCCCAACCTCATGCAGACATTCCCAGTGCTGTCATATGGTCCCATCTCACGGGTGCAACTAGGTTAAGGTTGGTTAGGACCCTGTGCCTAAAGTTCTAATTCCATTGCTTCGATTCAAGTTCAAACCACTGAATCCTCTGAAGAAAGTGATTAAAGTCTCTGGGGAGCCTTATAGTGATTATTTTGGGCTAGAGAATGACATCCGGATGCTAGATGGAGAGGCACCCAGTCTCCGTTTTTAGGTAATATTTTCCTCTTGTTTTTGCAGTCCCACCCTTTTGAAACCCTGAAAATAAACTTGCTTCCAAATTTTTACATTTCACGACTGCCAGCTTTCCAGGATACCAATGCAACAAAGAAACAACTGCTCTTTTGGCTTCTCATCCCACCTGACAGTCTACATGGGTGCTGTGTGAGGCACCATGGATGTGGGGTGCCCTCAGCAAAAACTACAGGCCAGTGGGACCCTACAATAGCTGCTATCCTGGATTTACTTCACAGATAAGTACAGGAAAACATTGCTGGGTGCACAACAAGCAAAGCAGGACAGTGAATTCTGGTTTTGCTTATGGCTACAGTAGGTGACAAGGCAGCACAGTCCAGAGCCTTGGTGTTTGTTATGCCTCTTCCTTAAAGGCACTGCTTTGCTGTGTTTGTACATGCTAACTACTGGAGGTTGGGAATAAAAGCCAAGAGGAATTTTCCAGGTTCACAACCTTCTCAGTTCTATAACAACTAATATTTCCAAATCAGGACCCCATTTTCTTCAGTCCCCTCAGTTCCTCAGGTTTTCCTAAACCCACTGGCAAGTCTGAAGACTTCCTTTTGCTCCCTGTTCTGCCCTTAGCTTTGTCTGTATTTGTACATTTATACTCCATGTGAACTGCAGTTTATACCTACATGAAACCCCATGCTTTACTTTGGAAGAAACTTTCTGCCTTGTATTTTTAAGCTTCCATTTTTGTCTTTTCTTACTCCTCTGAAAATTCTTGTCATGAATTTTTTGGCAGATAGGGTGAAGGAAGGAATTTAGTGACTGAATAACAGCAAATATAAATAGAGTCTGATGTAATCACTAGGGAACACTGAACAGTATATCCAGGTACCAGGGAAGGGTATGCTAAAAGACCAGGATGACAGGTGTGAGCATGAAGCTTGAAGCACTAAATGCAGAAGAATTCTAAATCACAGTCAAATCACTTTACCTCAATAGTTTTTTGCTGATCAATTCCAAGGCTGTGCATCAATCGTAGAACCTGTTCATTAAATTCTCCAATAGATGGCTCATTTTCTTGCTCTTGTGGATAAAGAATAGTTCTCTGTACAGGAACTTCTATGAGCATCCACTTATGCTCCTTGATTTGAGCTATGGTTAGCCGTTTGGAAGGATCTAGGACCAGCATCCTTCGAATAAGGTGTTCACAATCTATGGGAAATACAATGTTAAAAAAGTCACATCAACTTGTAGTAGGCCTATCTGTTTAACTCACGTGACTTAGCACAATGGTGTTAATCTCTGTGTCCTTCACTGGAAAGCAGGTCAAATGAGTAAATACATATACAAAGGATAAATTGTCAAGTTCACATCGTTTTAAATACTTAAAAACAGCAGAATATAGGTCTATTTGTGTGCTAAATGAGCTTTTCTAGTGCATTTCTCAAACGCATCTAGTCACAGACTTAGATTTCCATTAAAGAAAAAAAAAAATCTAAGCTTCATTCCCAGCACAAGCATGATTAATTGATCCTTCATTCCCAGCACAAGCATGACTGATTTAATGAACCAGTCATGTCCAAGGCTGGTTCATTAAAGCCATGTAGGTGAGGCAACGAGTTCTCTCCTGTGGGCTGTTGCTTTTCTCATCAGTGCTGCTAAGGCAGATGTATGCAGAAGACTGGCTTCTGATTATACTAAGCAAACTGCAGCTGCAACTCTAAGCACTAGCTGACTCTGAGCCAGTCAGGCTCTTCAGCACTTTTTCCCAAGTGAACCTTCTGTCACTCACTGTGTATCGGACACTAAGCTAAGTGCTTTGTACAGAGTAATTTAATCATTCGCAAGATGCCTCTACAGTACACACTACTGTTAATTTCATTTTAGAGGTGAGGAACTTAAAATATAGAGAGGACTTAAGACTTGCCAAAGCTATATGGCCAGTGAGTGATGAACTCAAGATTCCAACCAGGTAGTCTGTCTCCAGAACCTGTGATCTTCGTTACCCAAGAATACTATTTCTACTGTTTGTGAGAATAAGAGGTAAACATGAAAATTAAGAAACAAAACTAATGAGTAAATCTGTCACCTCTGTAACAATTCAATACAAGACAGGTAGGGATTGTGCGTTTCAACTTAACTCACCAGAGTTCTGCCAGCTAACATCTAATTTAAAAACTTTAAAATTTGCAAATCTAGTTCATAGTTACAGTAAAATGGTTCTAAGCCTATCTGTATGAAGTGCTTCTGTAAGTCTAAAATAAACCTGGGACATTTATAGACCTAAAGTGAATGGGAAGACTTGCTGCTCTTAATCTGAGTAACTTCTGTTCTCAGCTACAAGGAGGAGGGCTGGAACTCATCTCATGTATATGGAGGGTGTTTCATAGCTCTATGGCTTTTTAAAATGTTTCAGTCATTTTATTTGGTACGCAAATTCTCAGAAGGGAAACTTCGGCTAGTACATGGAGCAAAATTCTGTAACATACAACTAATATGACAGTTGGGGAGTGGTAGAGACAGAGGCAGGCGGATGTCTGTGAGTTCCAGGCCAGCCTGGTCTATATAGCAAGTTCCAGGCCAGCTGTGGCTACAGGGAGACCTCATCTCAAAAAGACCAAAAACAAAAAAAACCCAACCAACCAAACAAACAAAAAACCTACCATCAACAACAAAAAAACAAACCCCCCACAACCAACTAATATGATGATGAGCAACTTGTTACCTTCTGACATGAAATATGGAATCCGGAATCTTCCTTCCAAAACTCTTTGCCTCAAAATAGGGAGAGTTGGTCCATCAAAAGGCAAAGCTCCACAGACAAGTACATAAAGTACAACTCCCATGCTCTAAGGAATAAAACAACGCAGACACTTTCCAAAGAGAACTTCAAATACTCATTCCTAAATATCCCCTTGCTCTTGAAATCATATGGGCTGATGAATTACTGCCCCAAATTGTTACTTACTCAGAATCTGAAAAACTCTTAACTCCTGTGGTAACAGTAAGCATAATAAATACCAAACCAAATGATCTGAATTTGATCATTTTGCTTACCATATAGCTTCAAATCATTGCTAGTATTAGGAGAACACTTGTCCCTAAAAATTCCTTCCGACGGATCCATTTCAAGATGCTGATTGGACAAGATGCCCAGCAGGTAGGGGAGAATATGAAACATTATTCATGTGTTGAGTACTAAGAGCTTCTAAGATGGGCCAGAGTACCAATTATCATTATAGATATAGTAACACAGCAAAGCAAAGCAATACCCAAATGTCCAGCTGGGGTCCTTCGTACTGCTGCCCTTCAAAGACTTCTGGGGCTGCATAAGGGGGGCTGCCACACCATGTTGCCAGCAGTTCGCCAGTTTTAAAGAAATTTCCAAAACCGAAATCTAGTAGGATGGAAATAAATGTTACTTTCACCTTCCTTTCAAACTGCGCTCCATTTTTCTATAATGAATTTTAGAAGACACTATCACTACTGTTCACTCTCAGGAGAAGGGAAACATCTTTCTTGTGACTTTTCCTAGTAATTCACATAATGATAAGTAAAGAGAAAATAATAAATACTGTTGAATGAATGCAAATGTGAACTAATGTTTCCTTTCAACAGAATTCGTGAGGGACTAGAGATGACTCTTAAAACACATTTTTGTTTGCTTGGTCTCTTTTGACAGGATCCTACTACGTAGTCCAGGCTGGCTTTGAACTCACCGTTTTCTTTTCGTTTTATTTTTTTCTTCTTTGATGTATTTATTTTTTTATGGGGCTTTCGGCTACTCTAACATTCCCCCCTCTGAAGAGGTAACCCTAAAATCTTTGATTAGATACAAGCCCCCACATATTTTTGACATTTTTGGCCTTTGGAACAGAGTGGGTTGCTCTGAGGCCCAAGGACACTGGAACTCACCATGTTCTTGCCTCACTCTCCAAAATGCTCAGCTTCCACACATGAACCACTACACTTAGCTCTTAAACCATCTATGTTTAAGGTTGAAAGAAGATCCATTTGTGTGGATAATCACTGTGAATCTGATTATCATAGAACTTAAATTTGTGATTAATAAAGAGCTTTTTATTCTATATAGTCTATAACAAAGAAGCAAACAAGTGAAACACAACTAAGTGACTGGCTGCTTTTATCCCAGGCAGCAACATATACAACTTTTTGAGGGAACGGAGTAGAAAATTTCCTAAGTAAATACTTTAAATATTCCATTCATCCTACTACAGGCAGATACTCATCTGAAAAGCTCATTACCATAGGATGGCATATGGCCTGGCCACACCCCACCCATTATAACTTACATGCTCATTTATGGAATGCAATGGCATTGTACTAAAAAATAACTGTTATGCCGTCCCTTTATAATATTAGTCATACTGATATTGACTCATACTGAATCTACAGCTTTGGTACCAGAATGCATTCTGCCAACACTACTCAAATGCCTTCAATATGCACATGCACAGAAATATTCAGTGTCCTTTGCTATAGATGCAAGTTTACCTTTTTTAATTAAGACTTGCTCAAGAAACAAATTCCTATTATTTTGCAAGTTATACCCATTACAGTCTTGTGCTGTATGAATTGAACTGAAAGAGTCTAGCGCTCTATCAGTGGGTGCACAGCACTACATACACAGGGAAATTAAGCAAAGCATCAAAGACTGTCTTTAAGACTAGGCTCAGCATCTGTGAGCCTTAAGTTTCCGCACTTGTAAAGCTGCAATAATAAAATACCTAGCCAACAGCTGTTATGAGGGACCAATGTGTTAATGTAAATTGCCACTTTGTGCACCTCGATACAACACACATGTTGGTATCTTGGACAAAACATTCACTCAGCTTACGTGAGAACAGGTAGGCAACAGGCACAGTAATAACAATAACCACATCATAGCAGTTTCATGGAAGAGTACAACTACAAACGTAGGGGAACTAGAGTTGACTTGCAGTTTTGCCTCTTCATAACTCCAAGTCTCATAGGAGAAGGTATTTAACTTCCCTGAACCTTAGTTTTCTAAATCTATACCAGTGAGGATAATCCACATGCTTAGACAGCACCTTGTGAGCATCAGATGAGATCAGAGATATAAAATGCCTGAAGCAGAGATGTGAAACTCCAGCACTGCTGTCTGTGAAGCCATTATTGCCAACCATTGCCTTTCATAGAAAAAGGTCCTGAGGTCCAGAGGAAGGGTCGAAAAGTACAGCAGGAGCATAAACGTTCCCAAGAGGAAAACAGGGTGTGTCTGGGGAATGAACATTAGATAGTCTACACCTGATGGACAACAACGTGGACTATGAGGACAGGCGATGCCGATCACATCCATCTTTACAACACAACCTCACTTCAGCCTATATTCCATTTTTCAATACAATTGCCAGAAAATTCTTTGTTTTCTCTATTTAATCTTGGTGACTAGCCACTCTTATCACCTTATTATCCCTATGTGCATAGAGATATATGTTTTCCAATTTTCTAGGAAGACTGTACTCTAGAACTAAGAATTAGATGCTTGCCAGGCATGGTGGTGCACACCTCTAATCCCAGCACTTGGGAGGCAGAGGCAGGTGAATCTCTGAGAGTTCAAGGCCAGCCTGGTCTACATAGTGAGTTCCAGGCCAGCTGGGACTACAGGGAGACCCTGTCTCAAAAAGCTAAAAAAAAAAAAAAAAATAGATGCTCAAAGGCTGGAGAGATGACTCAGTGATTAAGATCACCTACTGCTCTTGCAGAGGACCCAAATTCAGTTCCCAGCACCCACATCATTGGATAGCTCACAACTACCTATAACTCCAGCTCCAGGATGACTGAACGCCCTTTTCTGGACTCCACAAGCACCAGCACACACACACACACACACACACACACACACTAAAAATATAAAAATAAAATTTAGGGGGCTGGAGAGATGGTTCTGTGGTTAAAAGCACTAGCACTGGCTACTCTTACAGAGGATCCAGGTTTGGGTGCCAGCACCCACATGAGAGCTCCATCCCTAGGTCAACTTCCAGAGGCTCTGACACCTTCTGGCCTCCACAGGCATTGTGCATGGTGAACTTACATGCAGGCAAAACACTCATAAGTATATATTTTAAAAATACAAGGTTTATTATAAAAAATAAAATAAATCCTTTAAAAAAAGGAGTTAGATGCCTTAAAGAAGCTCTGGGATATGTCAGAGCCTGAAACAGGTACACCAATGAGTGTACTTTAAACCACCATCACAGGATGAGCTTTTAGTGTATGTAAATTGAGGGTACTCTCCAGCAGCACTGTAAGGTTTCAATGTCTTAAAGAGCTAAATAGAGCTATTTCATTCTGAACTTCCATATGCCCTGGTGAAATGAGCTCAAAAGGGTGAGAACACAGGCCTGTATGACAGGCAACCTAGCCCTAGCAGTGGGCTCGCTTCATAGAGCCAAGAAAGTAAGAACTAGGGGAGAATCATTTTCTCTGAGGCAGTCCAAGTTTAAGTCTTGGTTTTACAGATTTTGGTAGAGAAGGTATCCTGTTCAGTCACGAGAAGAATAGGTACTGAGGGAAACAGGAGTTTGAATCTGCAAGGAAAAGTTAAACACTGAAAGACAACCAGGTTCACTAAGTATTATGAGATCATATCCCTTGAGGTAACTCTTTGATATCCTTTGCCAGAGCACTTCCCAAACTGTATTTGTAATTACCTGATGACTATGTTAAGATTTAATTAGAAAAATATATAATGCCACTGAAACATGGTAGGTACTTGGTAAATGGCAGTGACAAGCTTCATGCATGCAAGGAAAGGGCCTTATCATTGAGCTTCAGTCCAGCCTGAGTCTTTATCTCTTGGAAAAGTGGTTCATTACATGTTACATGATGATCTAAGCTCTTTGAGGATGTTTTCTTAATAACGAGGAAGCCTTACTTTAGAAGAAAGTACCTTGCTAGAGGTTATATGGCTAGCTATTGCACTGCAGAACTGGAATAGAAATCAGGTTTGACTACACTTTTATGTTCTTCCCTGGCACAGTGATTTGTAACTATTTTTGACCAAATTAATAATTACTAGGTTTAAGAAGTGGCAGTGGTTGGGGCTGGAGAGATGGCTCAGAGGTTAAGAGCACTGACTGTTCTTGCAGAGGACCCGGGTTCGATTCCCAGCACCTACACGGCAGCTATGAACCATCCTTAACTCCAGTTCCAGGGGAATCCGAAGCCCTCTTCTGATCTCCGTGGCACTGCATAACACAGGTGCACTCAACATACATGCAGGCAATACACTCTTACACATAAAACAAAACAAAACAAAACAACAAAAACAAGTGGCAGTGGAAAGGAACTTAAAAATGAAAGTCATTTCTATTTCTTCAGAGGAATCTGGGTAACTTTCTTCATTCACAGCCTAGAGTTTTCTGTCAATACCATACAGTAAATAAGGTGTGTGCAAGTGGATGAAACCGGAAAATTCAGCACGTCTGATTACCACTTCCTAAAACAGAATGGACTCTACGACTCTGAGTATCCTTAGAGCTAGTTAGAAGATCCCCATGTTCAGACCCCTTGTGTAAAGTGGTGCATATGTGCCTTTACCCACTGAGCCATCCTGCTGGCCCTTAATTTCATTTTTGACCGCCAACTATAATATATATATTATATATATTGGGGGTACAACATATTATGATGTTTACATTGTATAATATCTGAATCTCACTAATTAAACCCATTATCTTATTAGTTACAATTCCTCTGTAAAGAAGAGTCATTTATTACATTGCTATATTATATACTGTTGTAAACATTTATTTGATTCTTTCAGCTACAACAGAATACTATAGTTATTAATTTTTGCACTTGAATTGTTCCACCTTTGGCTAGGAAATACTAATTTATGTTGATGCTTCTATCTTTTCAACCTGCTTCCATTTTTAAATTTCTGAGACAGGATCTCACTATGTAGCCATGGCTGGCCTGAAACTTGCTATGCAGACCAGGCTGGCCTTGAATTCACAGAGATCAGCTTGCCTCTGCCTCCCAAGTAATGGGACTAAAGGCATGTGCCACTGTGCCAGGCTAAAATTTTAAACTTTACTTTAAAGCACTTCTGTATCTCCTGACACCAGAGGATCACTCAAGCTCATCTTGCATTTTCCCTGCCTCAGCCTTAACACAACTACTTCTCCAAGGTATCACTGTTCCTTTAATTGAAAAACAACATTTAGAAACCAAGATACAGCTCGAGATCTGTTCATTGATGTACCCAATTATCCACACAAGTGACTACAGTGTTCAAACACAGGCTAGGTGCTCTTTTGAAAACTATTCCATGGAAGTCCCAAGGATACCACTAGTCAGACGTTTAATAGAACTTATAATCGGAGTAAAGTGCCAGAAATCCAGGATAAA